AGCTGTTTTATAGAAAGGGGCCAGTGGTTATCGTTTGCTGTGACTTAACTCCTGATGCTTTGCCTCAGCATTGTAGTGGCAATTATTTTGATTTCCTTAGGAATAATGGCGTTAATTGTGCCAAACGGTGAATTATAATCCGGCTGCTAATGGACTAGCTGAGAGGCTAACTTGTACATGGAATAAGTACTTACAAGTCTTTGCTCTCTCATCTTAGGCTTGGTAAGATGAATTTCCATCAGTTATTTTCTACACGCAGAACCTAACAGCACACTGCATCATCGAGAACTGTCAAAAGTGATGCTGAGAAATATAATTCGAGCCCGTTTACACGTAGCCTGATGCTTCAAATATAACACTGAACCAAATTAATCTCTTCATCAATCTATGGTTTTGGCGGTTTTGTACAGGATAACACGGCATACAAAGTAACGAAATCTGACCTAGCCTTGGCTGTTGCTACCATAGTTCGTTCCTTCAGTTTTTCAGCGATCCGGCACCAAAATTAAAGATGATTGTAAGGTTATACGAAAAGTTAAAGAAATGTACAAACAGGGAAACTTTCATGTTATATTTAATTCAATATTTATGTGACTAGTTTCAAGGTGTTTGTGTTTACGGCCTGTAATTTCTCCCACCCTTACTAGTGCCTACTGTGTTTTGGAGAATACATAAATTAGTTATTTATTTCACAGCAATTTCTTGTTCATTTGCCGAGAGATGCGAGAACGTAAAGCAGATTGCTAAACTGGTTAGGCGTAACGCACTTTGCTCTTTTAGGCGCTGCCTGTATTACTTCTTGCTTTTATGTTTTAAGAACTGTGCCAAGAAAATTGACAGCTAATGCTAAATACGTGTTTCAATTATAGATGTAATGTAGAAAAATTAAAGGTAGCATACGATTGGAACATGAATACTTATTTAATGTTTTGCATATAGACTCAATGCGTATCTCGGATTATAGGTAAAAACCAAAACAAGTCGAAAACGAATGACCAGTTTCCCACCTTTCCTGGCAGTGTGCCTGTGTAAGCATACGTCTGCACCATATCATTCAAACCTCCCACGGTTGCGACCCGTGTTCGTATTACGGTCGGCGCACTCGCAAAGTCCTGGCTACTCTCAGACTCAAACTATTCAGAATGGGCCGATCATTCGCCTATTCTTCCTGTACCATGAGCACCTGGTCCTTTGCCAATTTTCTGTAAATTGTTTCCCGTCTATGACCACAGTAGAAGTACATGTGTATTTTACATACATAAATACAAGCTTCACAACGCAT